AGGCGCGGAGCGGCCCCATGCACTGCAGCAGGTAAGCGCCGCCCGCCCCCAGCCCGTGCTTTTGCTCTGCTTCCTCCAGGTGCGCGCCTGCAGGCCCGTGGAAACGACAGCTACCGGGCTGCAGCCTCTGGGGGAATAAACCCTCGAAACTCGCAGGGCTCTCCTTCCCCCTCCGGTTTTATAGGTCCTGCGAAAGCGTCCTTATGCTTGTGTGGCGCCTGCTGATACTGCGGAACCCACCTCATCTTTTGCTGGCACTTTGCTTTTTGCCTCTTCTAGCAGCCTGTCTTTTTCAGGTTGTGGTGTCAGGTTTTGTTTTGGTTGGTTGTTTTTTGCTGTTTTGGGGTTTTTTCCTCCCTCCCTCCTTTTTTGATACTGCAAAAGCTTAGGAGCAGCTGCCCCAGGAGCTGGTCACAAAAGTTGCAGAGAGAGAGTATTTTTGAAGCCTTAGTTCTTTTCCTATTAAAGCAAAGCAAAACTTGATTAATTTGATGCTGGCACTCTCCTTGTCCTACTTATTATGGCAAATACTGTCACAATAAAAAAAGCAAGGAGAAGAATTAAGAGGCCAGGAAAGATTCTGCTTTTTTTGGCAGGGCTCTGGAATACCAGTGAGAACCCTGGGAAGGAGAAAGCCATTTATTTAAGTGACAAAGCAAATGCTCTGGCTTCCCATGACTCAACAAAAATCTGCATTTCCAGCAAGGACTGCATCCTTCTCTAAAGGGATGTGCTGCAGTTGCAGCCCCTTTTTACAAATATTCAAGCTAACTGGCTTTGAATGAGCTGTGTTCTTGCACAGTGATAGTGTTTTTCATCATCTGAGAGGGAGGGTTATGAATAAATCTTTACAAATAAAGCTGTAGCATTCTTATTGAATACTTGCAGTAGGCTTTCACCATGACCTTAGGAATTATAAAAAGATGTTTTTAAGCCAGTTCTTGAGGCATGATGAGGTGAAAAAAATAAAGTGTCCCCCCCTCCTTTTTTTTTTTTTTTCCTCCTATTCACTCAGCAGTCAATGTTAACAGTGCAGAAGAGCTCTGTTACCTAGACCTGGGTTAATAGCTCATAGAAAATATTTCCAAAGGTGCTTTAGCATTTGTATTCATCTGAATTAACCAAAACCAGAGTGCCCAACAAATGCACTTACAGTTGTTGAAAACCACAGCGTGATGGTTCTGCATCAAGGTATATAGCATCCCATTTGGTGCTGTGATGCAATAGGTGACTTGCTTAATATAGTGCTGTCTCTGCTCAGAGATGAAGCAGCTGATCCAGCTTGCTGGAATTTTAAGACCTGGCACAGAGTCTGTAAAAGGGGAGTTAAAGTGGATGAGCACTTCCGCTGTAACTGGATCTGTTTTACTGGTTACTAGAATGTTCTTCTCTGTATTTTCAAGAAAATGTGTTTAATTAGCTGTCACTAAAATCTATTTTTTGGAGGTTTGGAAAAAGCAAACGAGACTACATTTGAATTGAGAGAGTTCAGAATTAGCAAGAAATGACCGAACAGTCTCACCCTAGTTCCTTAGCTTGAACTGCCAATTTTAATCTAGGTTGCATTATTTAAAGCCGTGCAAAGACAAGGCCGTGAATAATTAAGACAGTGGATGAAGCAAATATGCATTCTTAAGAAGCTTCTTACCTGATGTAACAAATAAAAACATTCTGCCTTTCTGCTCCTTTCAGAATGATACAGATCTTGGACCCAACACCCTTGCCAAGCTCCATCATGCCTGTGGACATGGCCATGAGAATTTGCTTAGCCCATTCTCCACCACTGAAGAGTTTTCTCAGCCCCCTTGAGGACTGTCAAAGAAACAACTTTGTGAACAGATTCAAACCTCTCAGACCGTGTCTTCATGTGAAACGTGACTCCGAAGCTCAGAAGAGTGACTGGAACCACTCAGCAGCCCGAGCCAAGAAGCGAGTTGTGTTTGCAGACTCAAAGGGGCTGTCCCTGACGGCGATACACACCTTCTCCGAGTTCCAGGAGCACCCTGGGTGGGATCTTCAGTTTGACCTATTAGGCCTTGAAAACATAACATCTGGCTTAAAGTTACATGAGGAGAAAAACTTGATTCTGGGTTTCCCTCAGCCCTCAGCTGACTACCTGGACTTCAGGAACCGCCTGCAGAAGAACTTGGTCTGCCTGGAGACCTGCACCCTGCAGGAGAAGGTGCTGTCGGGCACTGTGAAAGTAAAAAATGTGAGCTTCGAAAAAAAGGTTCAGTTTCGAATTACCTTTGATACATGGAAGACCTACACGGACGTTGAGTGTGTATACATGAACAATGTTTACAGCGATCCTGAAAATGATACCTTCTCATTTACCATTGACTTGCCTCCTGCCATTTCCTCTGAAGAGGAGATAGAGTTTTGCATTTCTTACCAAAGCGGAGAACATACCTTCTGGGACAATAACGAGGGTCAGAATTACAAGATTCTCCATGCAGAGTGGAAGCCTGATGGTGTTCAGATACCATCTGCCAAGAAAGACTCCGTAGATTTTCAGACTCCAGGGAGAGGACAAGAGAAAGAGCCTGATCAGCTAGGCAGTCCGAGGCTGTCCAGTGGTCTCTTTCCCCGGTGGCAGAGTTTGGGTCAGATTGAAAATTCATCACCATATTGGTGATCAATACTAGCGAGGAAGCATTCTTCCATTTGGCAAGAGAACTGTGTCAGTTTTCTGGTTCCCATACTACGTGACGAAATCACCTGGCAGGTTTTGTTGGCTGTCTGAACAAATCCAAATTCACTAGTCTGCGGGACTTGTTAAACCCTATTATGCTACTGGAGTTCTTAGCCAAAACTTACCCTTGGAAAGAAAGAAAACCAAGATAAAACCCATGTGTATGTTCACCTACTATAGAAATAGCATGCCCGTACCTTAAGTATACGCTGCTTTCTTTCTGCTGTAGACTCTCCTGCGTCACTAGGAGAGAGACTCTTGTGAGGAAGTATGGAAGGCGATGGTATCTTAGCGAGCTGTAGTAACTGCATGTGTGAGAGTATGTGTGCGTGCACAGGGGCGTTACGTGAACAGAACATCACAATTCATTTTGCATCTATTAGCAGTGCAGTAGAGATGAGATGATGCTGTCAGGACGGAGGCTTGCTATGACCCTCTACATGCTTGTAGCAGAGGCAGGTAGGAATGCATGGCTAGGATTTGTGGCTTCAATACACATTAAGAAACTTGGAGAGGATAATGGAAAAGTGGGAAAAGGGGGAGAGGTAGGATATGCTGTATAACTTGGAGACGTACAATGTTCTAATTTCTTCTTTCCAAAGCTGGTCTTCTAAATTGCAGAGAAAATTCTATGGGATAAAAAGGAGAATACAGAAAATGATGCAAAGTGAGTGGTGGAAGTGACTGCTGCTTTGAGAAGACACCTCTGTCCTTGTTGGCTTTGTGAATAATAAATGTCTTGCGTTTGAGAACAAATCTAACCTTGGCTTCATCATCCTACTCACTTAGCAGGCAGATGGTTACCTTCTAATGTTAAAAGGAGAACGTGCCTTTCAAAAAAAAAAAAAATTAAAAACCACCCTACATGCCAAAAATAGGGTTACATGACAAAACAAAGTGATTTGTAAACTTCCTAGTCTAAAGCAGCATTAGACGATTTGACTCATCACCTGATCTGATCTTACAGCACCTGATGGTCGAGTATCCTGCTCCCTATTGCAAAGTTACGGATGACTTTGAACAAGTGTGTAATATAGGAAAGGTCCTTCATATTGAAGACAGTGAATTAGCTGCACTCTGTGAAAGCTGATTTCTTTAAAAGAGCAGGGTTGCTACTAGTTTTTTCTAGACTGAATATAGGCTTGCAATAAATAGAAAACTGCTCTGTTTTATTGTACCTCATTTTTTGAAGTGTTTTTTTTAGACTTCAGTAAACTAAATGTATATTTTGTATCTGTATGCTTATAATTTAGCTTTCCGAGTTGTCAAACTGTAAAGGTGATCTGTGTTTCATGGAAGACTTGCGTGAGAAATTGTCCAATACATACTCAGCAGGTGTGAATACTGGCACACATTTTAGCTGTACAGAAATGGTATTAACATCGAAATATAAATCAGATTTTTGCCTGTTGCTAAGAAGTATAATATCCTGAGTCTGAAGCTACTTGCAATGCAGTGAGACGATAAATACTAAGGTGAAATAAGCCTCTTCCACTAATTGCACTTTTCCCCTACATAACCCTTGCTGTTATGTGTAAACTAGCCATTTTAAGAATAAATTGTATTTTGATACACCTAGTTCTTACTGTGTCAGCTCAGTCTCTCTATTTCCTCAACTTCTTTAAACAACTTCAGTTGTGATATAAGGTACAACCAGTTTGTTCTGTGCCATGGGACGTTGCTAAAGCTGGCTATGGTATGGTATCTCAGGTTATCAGCTGGCATTACCCTGAAGATGAAATCCAAGCTCTTCACTAAATGAGAAATCCTCAAAAGTATTCGCCTGACGAGTTGTGTCATTTAAAAAAAAAAAAACAAAACACAAAACAACCTGTATCTCGCCAAATTTAATTGGAATATTTTGGTTTTGATTCTGTCAGGGATCTTGCTGTGCCACGGGTGAGTCTGTCTGGCAGGAGTCTGTCTTAATCCAATAGCCAGACTTACCTGCTGAGCCATAGCATATGTGATGCTTGCATGGGCACATCTAGACAGCAGCACCTAATGTCTTCTGGCTCATTTTCACCTGGTACTTAGCTTGTTACGCTACCTCCTGCGGCTATACTGCTCTCTGGGGCACTGGGAGGTTGCGTTTTCTTCTCTTATACCTAGGAACCCAGCTGAATTGCCATCAGCACAACAACTCCCTGCAAAATAAAGCATCTGTCTTTGAGCCAGCCATTCACCTTTGCGACTGCAGTGTGGACCTACCCTTGCAGTTATTTAGAATAGAGAAAAGGGTGCGTTGTTTCCCAAGGGCCCTAGTCCCACGGGGGGCAGAGGGTTTTGGTACACTCCTGCTTCTCCTAGGTGGTAATTTAGACCAGCACAAAGTAAGAACAGGCTAGCCAGCACCAGTTGCACACCAGATACTTTATATGGGATTTCTTAATACATCATTAACTCAGTGACAAGACGCAGTTTACTTCAATCCATTGCACACAAAGTCAAGGGTTTCCCTGCAAGAAATCTAGCTTTAATTATGAAAAAGTAATTCCCAAAAGGCAAAAGACAACATGGCTCTAACAGCGTGTTTCTGACCTGGGGAATTAATTCAGAGCTTCCACACTGCAAAGCCTGCATGGGACGCAGGGCCCTCCTTTCCCTAACGCCATCTGCCAATCTCAAACTCTATTAAGTGCCACACTCTGTCTTACTGCGCAGGAGCTCTTATGATATATACTGCACCACCAGCTCCCTGCTCTAGAAAAAAAAAGTAGTGAATGGAAGAGAGATTTGCAACATGTGGCTTGAAGGCTCCTCTGCCTCAAAGTGGGACTTTGCTTTGGCAAACCATATGCAAGGCTTTTGGGTAGAGCAGAAGCCTTCTAGCATGAGGAAAAGTAGCATTTCTTGTCCTCCAGCCAAGTTTTGTGACCAGCCATCACAACTGAAAATGCTCACTTGTCCTCCTCTTGACTGAGACATAAATCACTTAAAAATACCAGAAGACAGGTTCCTTTGACCAAGCTTTGGCTTTAAGCCAGCTTCTTTGCAAAGGTGCCTTGCAGATTTTATTTGCCCAGCAGAGAGGTAATGCAGTGCTGCAGTGTCGCTCAGCAGCTCCAAAGCCCTCCCTCAGTTGAGAGAGCAAAGAATTTCTCCTTTTTCCACTCCCTACCAAAGCAATGCAGTTTCATTCCTTCCTCTTTTAAAACAGAGCTTGTGTTTAACACTAAAGCTCACATCCATCAAAAAGGTAACAGGCTCGTAGAGGAAGTATTTGCAACACTAAGGTATAGTAACTGAAAAAAAATTAGTCCTACAAATGTATTTACCAGACACTGAGAAAAAACAATGTCACCCTTGGAACACCGTCTTAGCCCAGGGGACTCAAACGTGCATCTTAGATGCTGCTCTTTCAGACATACCCTATTTGAAAAGAAGGTATAAAGCAGATGCAGTCCTTGAAACAGAGCTTGCAAAACTATGGCATCATCTCATTCCCTTAGGAAGTCACTTTTCCAGCTACATCGTACACATCGTACACATCGTATTTCCACCACTAAGGTGACAGAGTGGATGACTGGGTTCACTCCTACAGCTCTGTAGGTCTAAGGTCTTATAAATTTCAGTTATAGTGTATGGGTGACACAGTACTTACAGACTTTATTCTTCCAACATAAGTGTTTCAAGTTGGGTTCCTAATAACTGTACTCATTTTTGTGAGGCTAGGCCTAGTCTTACCATGCAAAATTAAATTGAAATTTGCTGGTGTTTCGTATTAACAAAGAACTGTCACCCTGGAAAATCAGCATCTGAACATTTCCTGAGAACATAATTAGAATTTTCACAGGCAATTAGTGAATGTCTTTTTCTGTAATTACATATAACTAAACAAATTACCACAATTTATATAGCAAATCTGGTAAATTAATGGTAATATGATAGATGTTACAGTATTTACATACACATAAAGCAACAACTCCCATCCCTCTGAGACATTTCTGAGCTTTAAAATGAAATGTAATCAAGAAAAAAAATGTTTCACTGAGGCCAAAATAAAAGAAAGTAAGGCTGTGCTAAATCCTCTTTTCAGGGGCCCGTCCTCCTGTTTCAAGAATCACCTGTACTTCAGCCATTCCTGACCTGTTCTTACAGCCCTCCAGTGATGGAGGCTCCACAAGCTTTATAATTATTCTCTCCTCTTCTTAACTCAAAAGAGGGTCCTGAGGTCTTAGCCTAATTAAAATTAAGCTCCTAATTACTTGTTTTATTCTGCATAGACAAGAAAAGGAAACTATTGCTTTCTTTTTGCAATAGCCTGTAAGCGCTTGAGAGCAAAGAACAGCTTTCCCTCCTCTCCTCACATCCCTTCTCTAGGCTACGTAATACTTAATTTCATGAAAAACGGATCTTTCGGCTTTTCGTCCTTGTTTGGAAAGGAACCTGTTAGACCTTTGGATTTTCCTTAAGGCAGAAATATCACTCTTAGCTAGCTCTGGTAAAAGCCTTGTGGTGTGGTCCTCAACTTCACCAGTGAAAACTTAACACAGCTCAGTACCCATCTTTCATTGCTCAACTGACTTCATCCGTCTCATACAATAAGGCCTCAGGAATGTACGTATCATTTCTGTAGTGCTCAATAGACTGTCTGTGAAGCTTATGACAGCCGGGCAGATTGAATCAGTGATGCGCTTCACTGATGATTTATTCTAAGGATGGCATTTCCTCCATTAAAAACATTCATCTTTTTCCCGCTCCTCCTCCCTATATTGCAAACTGCTTCTAACACTCCAGCCTTTGTTTATCTCCTTTCTGGGCTAGTCATTAAGTTGGTCATCTTTCATTTCTTCCATGTGAAGAACAGTGTTTTCTGCTTCAGTGACAAAATTCACACAGGCTTGGTAGGATTCCTGCAGAAAAGGCAAGCTGACTTTTGTTTTTGCAGTGTTCGCTGCAGGTGGCCCAGTGTTGATCTCGGTAAGTGCATCTTTCAAACA